CACGTTTTTTTGGTCAATTTTTCAAAAATATTTTTTTTAAAGTTTATTTAAAAACATAATTTTTTATAAGTATTTTTTATTTGATTCTAAAACTATCTACTTTGCACTTGTTTCTAATAAAAAATTTCATGATATTTCTTTATTGATGATATTTTTCATTTTTTTACTTGTCCACGTTTTTTTGAGCAATACTGTATCTATAACCCTCTGAAACATTGCTGATCCATTAACTAGTCCAAATGGCAATTTCGTCCATTCGAAAATTCCAAATTTGCAAGCAAAAGCTGTTTTGGGAATATCATCTGGATGCACATCAATTTGATGAAATGCTTTACCAATATCCAGCTTTGATCTTATCTTACTTTTGCTTATGGTGTCAAATATATCTTCCATTCTTGGTATTGGATATTTATCTTGGGTAGTTATTTTATTCAAAGGTATATAATTTATGCAAAATCTTTGCTTGCCATTATGTTTCGCAACAACTACAGACGATCTCCATGGAGACGAAGATGGTCTTATCCAACCTTTTTCTAAATATTTTTCTATTATTTCCTTTATAAATTTTTCATCTTTCTCATTAGTTCTAAAGTATTTGCCTGAGACTGGTGCTGAGTTACCAGTATTAATTCTTAACAATGGTTTAAAAATTAACTTATTTGAAACTTCGTTCAGAACTAACTTTACTTTTTGCTCATTAAGTTTAATACTTGCAAAATATTTCCGAATAAAGTCCAGTCCTAATATTGCGTCATAACTAATATCCTTGCAAACATAAAATAAACCTTTGTATTCATAATTATCAATATCAATATTTATTTTTCTCAACATACCAATAATTTTAATGTTGCTACCATTAGCAACTTTAATACTTATGTCGGGTTCTAAGACTTTTATACCCATTAAAAACTTTGAATTTATTATTGAAATGTCTGCACTAGTATCAACTAATGCATGAATAATATTATTATTCAGTTTGACATTAATAATTGCTTTTGAATGGGAGTCTTTTTGAAAAACCTGATTAAGATAGAATAAATTATCTTTATTTACTCTTTCATTGGTAGTTTCATCTACCTTCTTGCCCACATGAGCTGAAAGCTCATTAATTCGCCTTTCCTGGCGATCAAACTTCAATTTATAGCATACTTTTCTCGTATGCCCTTTCTTCCCACAATAAAAACAGGTTAACCTAGATGAGTCACCTATGGAAGAATCAGATACTTTACGATTACTTGCTTTTTGCAATGGATTAATAAAATTTTCACTATTATTACTTGATTCATTGACACCAAAGTGTGAAATTTCATTGCCCAATGAATCAAAATTAATATTATGACAGATAGAATAGACCATATTAAAATCAATTGTCTGTCCATGAGCTGCCAGCTTAATCTTCTCCTGAACTGAAGTCGACAGTGCCGTTATCGCCATGCTAACTAGTACAACTTCTTCTACATTGCCTCTTTTAGCTATTAAATATTAAACTTGCTTTGTCAAGAAAACCCCATAGTGATTCACTGGGTGTTGGTTAAGATTCTTAAGCATTGTAATCGCATGTAAACTCTTGTCTGGTGGAACTAATCTCTTTAAAAACATGTTAGCAATATCTACATATAACCTCTCTTGATGTGACTCTAACCATCTTGCTGCTGTCCCTTTAAGTGCCAGCCTAAGAGCTATTTTGCATTCAAACTCATTGAAGCTAAGTGCTTTAACATAATCATTAAATTGTGTAAGAAACGCTGTTGCATCTTGCAATTGCATATCTTTAAATTCATATGGTGTCTTTAAGTTTTTAATCGACGTCACCAAATTGATGGAATCAACTAATTTATTTGTTTCACTCATTTTTTAAATATAGGTAAAATTTTTATAATAATAATAAAAAGAATGTTCTATCCAACAGAGACAATTGTCAACTGGACTAATTATGTTAGAGAAGTAACCCATTGGGTTATTACATCTAAACAAATAGGAGGCGAGAGGCATGTAATTCAAGTAGATGAATCATTATTTGGTGGTTGTCAAAAGAATAATATCGGAAGACTTCTTAGGATTGAACTCAAATCTCAACAAGAGAAATAATTATGTGACAGAGTTCAAGGTCCTTGGGTGTTCGGGTTTATTGATGATAAAACTTGAGATGTTTACATGCAGGTTGTAAACAAGAGGGATGCAGAAACGCTCATTCATATTTTAAAAGAGTGTGTACACATCCACTCTACCATTCATACTGACTGCTGGAGGGCTTATGGCAGGGTCAATGAAAACTTCAAAGAACACTTTACAGTGAATCATTCAGAGTTTTTATTGACCCAGAGACCAATATCATGCTCAATTAATTGAGAGTGTATGGAGGAAAGCTAAATTATCTATTATGAGAAATAGAAGAGAAACTATATTAGAATTATTACAAAGTCATCTCTCTTTCTTCTGTTTCTGTTATAGATAAAAAGAGGCTGACCCTTTTATTATTTTTATGGAATCATTAACTATATTTAATAGTTCAATTTTTAAAGAATATGAAAATGAGAATAATGAAATTAATAAATAAAGTAAATTTTTATTTTTTTATAATTGGTTTTGATGTTTTAATAAAAAAACAATTACATTTTTATAACATTTAAATATTTTTATTAAAGAATAAAGAAAATATACTTTTGTATTTATAAAATATCACTTTATAGGCAATGTAATTAATTTTTAAGTAAAATTTTTAAATACAAAAGTATATTTTCTTTATTCTTAAAAAATTTGTTTCAAAGATGTAAAAGCTTTTTTCATCTTAAATTTTATTTTATTTTAAATTAATATTTTTTTATTTTTATTAAACATATAACTTAAAATATAATATGGCCCAATTGGGCCCGGGCCCCAAATCGAAAAATTTTGGTATTCTTCCTCATGGGATCCAATTAAAGGAGTACCTAAAAAACTTTTATCAGATTGTAAAATTTACTTTAATTTTCTTTTATAATATTTTAAAAACATGGTATTGTTTGTTTTAGATTGTAACACTTACAGGAAATATTTAGATTTTTTAAAAAAATTACATACAAATAAAAATTAAACAAGTTATTTTAAACCATTTAAAATAGCAAATTTATTGATAATAAACACGCAAAATGAAATAGCTCTTTTTAATATTTTTAAGAAACTATTTAATTTAAAATAAATATTTACTTACTAAATTTATTTTAATGACTGCAAAGAAGAGAATGATTGAAATATTTGAAAAGAAGTAATACACTCTATTAGAGTATGCTAGTGAATCTGTTAATACACATTTTTTATAATTAAAAGGATTTAAAAATTGTAAACACAATAAAAACTGTTATAGATAAATCTAAAGCATTTGTTTTATACAAAAGACAAATTTCAATATAATAAATTTATATAAAGATCAGTTTTTTAGTTTAAAGTTTAGAAAATTCAATTTTTAATTTCTATTTCTTTTTGAAATGTAAAACACAGTAACTTTAAAATAATTATTTATGTTAAAAATTAATTTTAATCTTAATTGATTTAAATACACAAACTATTAATGTTGAAACCTAAGGAGTGATTAGAACAAAGTTTATTAAGTCTTTCCATTGATCCATAAGTGTCTTCCTTACTCCCTGTGTAAAGGCTACTCTCTATATCCAACTCATCTCTAATATCATCTGTCTCTCTCTTACTTAAATACTCTTCACTCATCCTGTATTTAATTTCTATAGGTTAAATAAAATATCTTCTTTAAATATGTCACCTGTCAAATCAATCAAAATCTATTTTAATATTCTTTGTTACTTAAATAAACAATTTACTCATTTTAGAGGATACGACAATTAACATGAAATACAATCAAATCTCTTTTTATTAATTAATTCGTGTAATTAATAAAATTTAAATAAAAAATAACTTTATTTATAAAAAAATTAAAGTACAATTTTTTACCCTTAAAATGAATACTTTAAATATATCTCTATCTTTAATCACTAATATCAATAAAATAAATGCCATTGATACAGAAGAAGACATACATTTTAATAATTATATGGATGAATTATTTTCAGTCTGTGAAGATAATTTAGAATCTAAATATGAAGCTTTAGTAGATGATTTAAAAGAATATTTAAATAGTTTAGTTAAAAAACAGTATGAATGTAAAATAGACGAGGCTACTCTAAGATCATATTTTGATGATTTTATGAGTGGGAACATAGAAACAAGGAATAAAAACATTATTGATTTTCTAAATAAAAGAAGAAAAGGTAAATATTTATCTGAAAAGAGAATAGACAACCTAATATTTTATAAAGACAATTTATTTGAGTTTGTCCTTGTTATTTTTTATAAATGCAATGAATTAAAAATAGGTTCTAAATATTATTATGAAGAAAAAGAAACTTTTGAAAGAATTAAGTATAAGTTTTATTTAAATTTACGAGAACTTAAAGACATGAAAGAAGTAATTGAATTACATAAGTTGTATTTAATAATTTGGGACAGGTATTATGAAAAAAAAGAATTTGATGAAGTCCAAAATAGAAATCAATATCTTAATGAGACAAAAAATTTGGATCTTGGAAAATATAATTCTTTAGACTTGTTATTAATTATGTTTGATAACTTACGTTTTGACATTTTATTTTCTTCAGAAGATATTAAAAAGTATAAACAAGAAAATGAAAAGAAGGAAAGAAAAGAAAAAATAATAATA